GCGAAGACGGAACTTCTTTCAGGTGAACGTAGAGAAGACAGAGGTGATGAAGATACCTAACCACCAACAACAAGCACCAATCACCATGAACGGTGGAAACCTAAGGGAAGTAGTCTCTTTCAACTACCTACCTACCTACCTAGGCAGCATCGTTTCAACTACAGGCGGCACAGGCACAGATTAAGACACCAAAGCCAGGATCGGAAAGACAGCAACACAGGCCTTCATTAATCTGAAATCAGTGTGGAGGTCTACTGCACTCCACTCCACTCAGCATCAAGCGTGAACAAAATCCTGATTTTCAACACCAATGTCAAGTCAGTGCTTCTATGTGATGGTTCAGAAACTTGGCGCGTTACGAAAAGCTATTCCAACAAACTGCAGACATACATCACTCGATACTGAAGACCAAATAGATGGCCAGAAGGAATAAACAACAAGGAACTCTAGTCGGGCAACGAACCAACCAAGAACCCATCGCCCAACAAATATGCAGAAAAAAGTGGAGATAGATTGGACTGGACATAGACTGAGAAGACCATTTGGGACATCACGTGACAGGCCAGTTCGTTGAGTGGAGGTCAAAGAGGAAATGACGAGTTGGTAGTTCGAGGGTGATATGGAGGAGATCGTATGAAGAAGAAATGAAAGCTTGTGGACAGTCGTGGATCCAGGTTCAAAAGACAGAAGAGAACAGAGTGAAATGGCGACGTGCTACTAAAGCCCTATGTTCCACTAGGAACCCAAAGGACAAATAATAATAATAATAATGGTTGTTACAAGAAGACTTTTGTTACTCCTTATAGATTAAAACGATCAGGAAAGTAGACAAGTTTGACAGCTTAACCTCTGATTCCCATGCGCCACCGAATACCTCGCCACGTAAATTAGCATTCTCCTACATCCATCCTTGAAATCTTTGAGTGTCAGACTTTTAGATCCTGTTGCTTTGCATCCTTTTGGGTTTTGGTACAGCCTTCTCAACCCCATACAGTGTTTGAGGACCGACACATATGTCCCATTAGGGTTCAGGTTGGATTTTGGGCAAGTAAGGCTTGCTGAGAGCCAGTTGAACCATGCTTCGAAGTGTTCTAGCTGTCTGTCCTAGGAGGTTATCAGCGTTCTATCCTTTTCGGTGATGGTCTCACTCACCATCATTTTCTGCTTGCCAGTATCCTTAATAGGCCTAAATAGTTTCCGGATGTTACCCGACGCTGATGTCCTCTGCATCTCTCTCGCTTTTGCCACCCACCACTGCTCGCGATCGATGCGAAGACTCGCTTTCGATTTCTGCTTACTTTGCTTTTGACCTTCATTCTGGTCACATCCAGCTGCAATCAATCTTCTCACATCAATCAGTTTCGACGATGTGGGGAAATCTAGTGGCGTTTGCTAACTTTCGGATGTAGGTTACCATCTGTCTTTACCGCTGTTTCTACAGCAGGCTTTGCATCACGCCACATCTCATCAAGATGAGCATTGCTGTCTTGTTCATATAAATCGTTGGCTAACTCCTCCCTAAATACCTACATGGTGTCCTCATTTTCCAATCGACAGGCTTTGCTATCGCTTGCTTCCTGCTAACAGTCACACACAGATATGCACGAGCTCGTACTAGAGCGTGATATGAGTCCAAACTGGTACTCCAGAAAGAGCAATAATACCCTACCGATACTCTGCAACGACGGCTTACAGCAATGTGATCTAACTGTGTCCATCATTAGTTTGATGTCAGCCAATACCATGTAAGACAGTGTCTACCCTTATGTTCAACATTACTGCGGACCAGAAGTAAGTGATTGTCGGAACAAAATTGTGAGAGACGATCATCGTTGTCGGTTTGTTGGCATAGTATCCCATAAGTGCCCTCAAGATGCCTTTCAGATTGACTCAGCTCCTCCATTTGAGCGTTAAAGTCACCTGCCATTATGACCACATCTGGATGTTTTCCTTTATGTAGCCTCTCATAAAATCTGTCCTTTGCATCATCCGAACTTCAGTCGGTGAGTGCGTGGGCGAAGATTAAGAATAGACATCGACTGGTCTCCCGATCCTTCTTAGTTTTAACAGATCCATTCAGTCGAAAAGCACATAGACGGCTGTTTACTGGGATCCAATTGAGAAGCGCACTTTCGGCTGTACAGCTCAATGTTATGCTTACAGCTAGTGACCGTATTGGCCGGGTGAAGTGAAGTAAATAACCACACTTGGGTCCTGTACACGTGTCTCAGAAACTTAGAAAACATACATGGCTAGAGACCCCAGAGTTCTGGCGAGCGATGCTTGTTGTCCAATTTGGCATAAAGTTCGCACGTTGAAAGCGCCTACATGGAATCGATGAGGAGCGGGGTCTTAGGAGACTAGGAATGAGGTTACGATGGCTTTAATCGCTGGGAATGGTCGCAGAATGAAGTGGGGAAGGTGTGAAAGGTTTACTTATAGTATGCGGAGATGAAGGCAAAAGAGGAGACAGAGTTGAAGAGGATAGGTCATGTTCGATTGGATCTTGTGTCTTACTGGAACGTGTGGCCGGTTGGCACTTTCCAGCTGCTCACACTGTGGAAGGCTATTTCTTCTTAAAGTGCTTGAAAGAGGAAAAGATTTGTGTGACCGCCCAGCCCCTGGGACATCTGCTTGAGCCCCGTCACATACAGGTCTTTGAGGATTGCTGATGTGAGACGTGACTGCTTTAACGACGGAGAGAGAAAACCCATACCACCGACGCCAGAAGACAGTTGGTATTCTTGAGGTCGACTTTTTTAACCTCCTCTTCCCATATAACCTGGCGCTGCTGGTCATACAAGGGAACCACCTTACTGCTGTCATACCTCATCCAGCCAGCAGTACGACCTCTCACTTGGACCCCCGTCATAGCCTAGTAATTTACATTACAAAGGTAACTGCTTTTCGTTTAGCCAGTACCTAACAGACCTTTCTGACGTAGTAGGATTTCGGGGGAGCAAGTTTTTCAGCCTGTGTAGCCCGTTAGGTCAATAGGATATGCAAACCAAACCAGCACGTTGAGGTAGAAGCTGTCGGACAGGCGAACTTTTAATGTTTTTGCCGAATTAATGTCTTTCAATTTAGAGGTTTGTGGGGATTTATTTAGTGATTTCAGATTGGCATTTATCACGGACTGACACCAGTTGGAGAAACATTGGAAACCTGAGGGAATCGAACAAGTGTTTCCTCCTGGTGTGGGACTCCTTAGCAGTGCGTACCCATGACCGCTAGGGACCGAACCCAGGACCTTCACGTTCTGTAGCTAGAACCCTACCGTAGACTAACATACGTAGAAAATGTAAACTACTAGATTCCAACCCAGTGGCCTACTGGTAGCGTGCTGGCCATCGAACCTGAACGTCCCGGGTATATTCCCTGGTGGGATGGTTGGTACGCACTACTGAGGAGTCCTACGCTAGGACAAAACAGCTCTCCAGTTCTCCCAGGCTTCCAATGGTTCTCCAACTATTTTCATTCTGTGACGAATACTAACCTGGACTTAGTCTGCGAACAAACCTATTCTTTCCTTTTTGTTTAAAGCATTTGCTGACGTCAAGATATGTACGGCTTTCCAGGACACTCTTTCTTTATGTGAATCAATCTTGTGTCCACTTTGAATCGCATGCATTGCTATTGCCAAAACTTTTCCTAAACTTTTCAATTTCACCTCATTCTTCGGTTCAATAACTGAAGTTTATTGCTATAAGTTTTTATTCCCAGTCTGTCTCAACTAAATTCAGTTTCCCGACACAAAACTTTAGGGAGCTGTCTTCTGAAGCTTCTGTAAAACTGGGTGGTCGCGTAAAAAAGTCACAATGGTTGGCTTTGCTTGAATAAGGCAGAAATCTGCTTTTAGAAATTTATGTGATTATCAACGTTTTTAAGTGAACTACTCCCTATTTTGTTCAGCAAGTAGGTAACGCTGTTTGCCCAGTACAATTCCGTCAAAAATTCATCCATACACATATACAGGTGATTATTTCCAACATTTTGGGTTTGCCAAGGGCCTTATTACTAGTCAAAGATGAGTAGGGAGAGGAATGATACAATCGTAAATCTGATTTGATACAAGCATGTGGTATAGTCATTAAAAATGAAGAAGATCGTTAGACTTCAATGATGATAAATGACCACTACTGGATTAGTGTCCCTAATCTGAGTCGTATCCATAGGTGAAATACAAAAGGGGAAATAAATCTCTAGATACTTGTGATACAGGTACTGCTCACTAATTTATACGTTTGATAATATCCTGAACACTCATGCGAATGTTGTAATTCTGGTAAGATCCTGACCCGGAGATTTAAACAACTGAAGTTTAGCTACTTATTCACAGTTTTCAATCCCACTTCATCTATCAGTAGTGTTATCCGGCAGCACAAAGGCTTTTCACATAATGTTTTGAAACTGCTCCTTGCTAACCATGGTCCCATTGATGGTAACATCAAAAGTGCATGAGAAAAGTGGTTTCAAGTAGCTAGACTTCCAGTATTTGATAACTAGTTCTTGATTTTGTGGGAAAACTGAGCAGTGCCGATCAACATCCGTTTTGTGCAAAGTTTAGCTTGTTCAACTTCATCTTTATCACTTATTTACAAGTTCATATCCACACAGCCTAGATCACTGGGACGGGATAAGAAGCTAGTTATTAGTCCTCGTGGGAAGTGACCGACTAATAGCTGAATACCGGTATCTGTGTATAATCTAAGGGTTGAATTCCTATTGATCTTATTTTACTTACCTTCTGTCAAAAGGTAAATGGATCATTCTCTTTGATTAAGAGCAATCTTGAGGTGGACCATTACTTTATTATCAAAGAAATGCAACATATGGAACCCGCTTATACTTTCTGGTATATATATATATATATATATATATATATATATATATATATAAGCAAATATCTGACCTGAATTAAGCTGAAATGATATAATCGGTTAGATTAAAAAGTGCAGTGATGATCACCTTTATTAGGAAAAGAAGCATCAAAGACTTACCATATGGAGTGTTAACTCCAACCTCTGTACCTACGCTTATTAAAGTATCACCAAGATGTTCAGCAGGTAGCTTCGCCGGAACCTTCAGCCAGTAGCTCTTATTATCTGTGACCAGACTTTCTACTTTGTTAGCTGAAAAAATATTTAAAGTCCACTGTTATTATTTGTTTAATTTCAAGAGATTTGAAAACTTTGACATCACCAACAACTCATGAGATTACGTGAAAATTTCAAAACTGAAAACTAGTTAGAAATCGCAAAACAGTTTGGTAGTGACCAAAAAGTCCCAAATCTGCTAAAACCTTTTCAAACAGTCATTTCAAGTATGTTATTACAGCTAGCAAAACTCTGTCAATAAAAGTCGTATTTTCTAAAAAGTTGGAATGTCAAAAGCCCATTTATTTACCTACATATTTATTACATATTAACACTAATATTCTTCATCACTTTTGGATATTTAAATTTGATCTTGCAGTGGGAGAAGTTTTGTTTTAACTCAAGGAATCTTATATAATGTAGCAGTCTAACTCGGAAATATTTTTGGAATCAAATAAATCAGCTACTAAACTGTAGGATTCAAAGTTTTTGATGACTTCAATCAGTCACCAACGGACCCAGCTTATAAACTTTATTCTTAATAACGCCTCCCGTCGTAGCACAGGCATAGAAGGAATGCATTTACTAGTATTCTAGTCTACTTTATTCATTTTCGTTGTTATAGATGTCACTACTAGTCTTATGGCCTTGTAAGTTCTGTTAGCATACGATTAAAAACATAAAGTAGTCACTATATTTCAATCAATGTAGCTATCCAATCGTTGATTTTGATCAGGCCTTCGCAACCATATGATGCGATGTGACCAATGAGCAGAGAGATAAAGGCTATCCTGAAGTGAATTCAATATTGTTAAAGGCTATGCATGATTTTCTGAGTTGCAAAAACAAATGTGCTGAAAGTCGAGAAGAAAACTAAGGTATAATCACCAACATACATTTGTTTAAAGTGCACTTACTACACTATAGAGAAAGACTATGATATCTTTATGCAATAGTTATGCCTAAGGGCAATGCTACCCGGTAGTATTACAAAAACAGATGAGCCATATCATTAAAAAAAATAAATGACGTAATAGATGTTGGGCACGCCTTGAAGCACAAGTGGAACTGAAGTTATTACTGTATTTACCCAACTTGAAAGATACCTAACACATATTCACTCTTTCTTGACTTACATTTGGGTCAGGAAATAAAGAAATAAGAGCAAAAAATTACTTATTATGGATGTAATAATGATTTGTGTTTGACTGCTTTCAAAGACACCCTTTCTCAGTTAACCTATACTGTAATTCGTTTGATTACATTTTTATACATTTTTTAAACCAACCCATGAAGGACGTTTATCACCAGGTTCAAGGGGTGCACGAGTGGTCAAGTATGATCTTAGACACTTTGTCCACTAAGATATTACACAGGTTAGGATATCTAATGTTTTTAGACTGAAATGCAATTTTTCCAATGAACTAAACCTAGTGTATATAACTCTGACATGCAAATCTAGACACATGAATGCAAAACAGAGCTGAACAGTGAAAAGTTCACTGATTCATTTAATTACTTTAGAGATTGAAAATCTACCTAAAGATTTGGTTGTACAAATTGTTTACGGAGTTGAAACGATTTGGATTCAAACTGCGTTTTTTGGTGGATCGACTTAATGCATATAAAATTCTAAAGCACATGCGTGAGATTAAAATCTTAAAGATTTGCGAAGCACAATTAGATATCTTGAGTGGTGATTTTGACAGTAAAAAAGACTTAACTCAGAAATGTCCTTAAAGACGAAGAAATCTTCGTGATTTCTCATACGTTTTCTAGATAATAATACATGTATATTCCAAAAATGAGCTGTAATCCTGTTAAGCTTAACTTATTCTTACTATAAACAATTACGCAGAAATTATTACAGTTAGTGGGACTGGTTATTTGCACTAGTTGTCCGTGATTTCTACTAAGCCATACTCAGAATTGTGATGGAAACTTTGCATATCTTTGTGCTTCATATTTAACGAAATACTATTTTATTTCAACTTAGAAGTATCACTTACAATGTAAGTGATGTGCTGCAAGTGAGTTACTGCAAATCATCAGAGTCAAGGGGTAAACGTATCAGTTACACACAGAGGATTTCATCCATAGTTACATAACACTCATAAGCTTTTTAAATTCGCACTGGGCCGTAAACTCACGAAAGCGCCAACAGATATGTAGAGTGAAGAAATTTCTTAGATAACATCAGGCTTAGTTCATGTAAAGTACAGTTATTGCGAAAATATCTGATGACGGTAGAGGTACGTGTAAATAAAACATCGGGTTTCAAGGTTATCTTCAGTGTGTTAGCAAGCATCTCCTAATTGTATCGGAAAACTCTAGCCGTATCCTACCATTTTAAGACCTTTATTACACGTTTTTGGGCTTGAAATCAATTTACTTAATATTACAGAACGTCAGTCAAGTGGTTATCTCAAGAAGATTTGAATATGAAGTGAAAGATATTGTAAAACATGCACGTAAATGTAATAGCTGTACAGTATATATTTCGAGTAGTTTTGCTTACCATTCATGTTTTCAGTTAAAAAGCGGACTATCTAGCTGACTTGTTAAGCAATACAACTACATAAGAACAAGGTGTTTCTATATAGTCTGAAAACTGGCATTAAAGATGCAACGGCTTAGATCTTGTTATTAAAGTGAATCCTGGTGTCTACGTAAACACAAAACCAGAAACAGTTTACCGTTATACGTTAACCTTACAGACAAAAGTAATTAAACCATCACAATAATTGCTAAGTGAAGAAAGCGAAATGGCACAAGGTAGTAATGCCAAGTTCAAAACCTCTTAAAGTTGACAGCAAAGTCTGAATCGTGGCTTTAACGTACATGGAGAGAGTGGTGCAGTGGTCGAAAGTATCATCGTCAATTCGCTGTTATAAGGTGGTCATGAAAAACAATTAATGACTTATTTATACAAAGTTTAGAAATCTATTCACAACATCCCCGAAAAATGAGAACGAGCAAGACGAGCGAATTCATAAGGCATGTCATTAATTGAAGAGACATCGAGAATTCGGTCTATTTGCACAGTATAGATACAACCTCACCTTTCAGATATGATTCCTATTGAATGGTTGAAGTATAAACTCGGAAATTATTGAAACCTCAAACAACAGCTGAAAGTAACCATTTGATGGGAGTCCACTTCAAGAGTTTAGCTTATGTAGTGTGACTGATTTAGCCATGTGTTTTGTAAAATAGCGTCAAAAGGAAACCTGCATTTTTATCGGGTGATCATCTAGAACTGCTGATCCTAATAGCATGGACATAATAATTCGTGAGATTTTTTAAAGTTGAACAAATGTTCTCTTCAGGAAAGGTTATCTCACTGGTTGCCACTTACATTTTGTACAAACTGATCAAATAGCTAGCACAAAAAAGATGTTTGCAGCAAAAATGTCCGGTTACGGCGAAAAATCCTTATCGACAGGTTTGTTCGCCCTTGAAATCCAATTTGCAATACTTTAAAATAAACACACCACTCATGACTGTCCTTAAGCTAGTTTTGTCAGTGCTACTTTTTGAGTTCGACAAAAATTTGGAGAAATAAAGCAACAATTAGGTTTTAAAACAGCTTATTTCTTAGTCTCGGACTAGCGGAGCGGTCACGCGAAGTTTTCATACAAGATAAATATTTTCCCCAGATATGGACTGTAGCTTCTAAAAGAGGGTTACTAATGGATACAGCTCTATTCTGCTGAAATATCGTCAAAAAGCAACTGGAAACTGACCTTTTCGGCAAGCTGTTTAATTTCTGGTGAATCAAAAACTTAAATAGGTACAGAGCAACCCTGAGTATAGAAGGCTGCTGCAAAAGACGTGGTGCCGTGTAACAAAAGTTGGTGTTAACAGAGAAAAAGTAGTACGGGCATACATAGAAATTCCCATCACCGAAATTTTATTTAGGGATATGTCCTATTAAGACCTTAAATTAGAGCACCAACCTATGGAAAGACCGAGAAAAATGGACGAAAGAGAAGTCACTTCCGAGGTGTTGTTTATTAGATATCAACGTTTATAAAATAATGAGTAAGAGTAGGTTCAGTGAAAACTGTAGTCACATTTTGTCTCTCATGAACTCAAAGCACCAATCCCTAGGACCTTTATTTATTGTGCGTATACTTGCACAAATAAAATACTTTAAAAGCCTTCAGTTCGAAATCGATTTCCTGAAAGGAGATTTGATATGCTATTAGGGATAACGTGTCAAGAAAACACCGACTAACTAGTTAACACATACTTTTCCAGTCTAGGTTAACACAAATGAGTCGGAATCACAAAATCTGAAACAGCGTTCTAAAACGTCGGTTTATCAGTGTATTGCTTACTGCTTGCAGTGAAGCAGAACATATTGAATATAACGGCAATTTACAAAATTTGGTCAGTGAATATTTAAAATATGTTAGTGAGAAGAAAAAACATACTAACTATAGCAGTGTTAGTTAGTTGTAGAATGAAATATATGTTAAAAACTTATCATAAAACAGAAGTACTTCCGTTTTAAAACAACCACTAGTGATTATGTTTTCATTAGAATACAAACTGACCGACATCTTCAATGCGTCTAGCTGTGTCAGACGAGAAACTAGTTAAGTAGTAAAATAGAATTTACAAACACATGGGTTTATCCAAAGTTCAATGGCTTCCATTATTTTCTTTGTTGCTTCGTGTATTGAATCAGCCTGAGACAGTAGTGTCACAAACTCTTCATCAAATTCCGTCTTCTCAGCTCTTCCAATAGCTTCATTTGTTTTCTAAAACGTTGAAATATAACCCATGTTCAATATACCTGCAAGGCTCTGTTGAGCTTAGTGTTGGTAGTGTCCAGGAACTTCCTCATCTTAACGAGAACACGTGTGACGGTTAAACGTGACCCAACGTTCTATTTATGTATCCTGAATGATACGAACAACTTGGTGTTCAACATCCAACGCCAATAATCCAGGAGGTAAAAACTGGTAGTTTTCGGTCTTTCATGTCTGTTTTTGAGCAGCTGCGCTTTTTTGTTCGGTTTTATCCTGTAATGGGCAAGTAAATTCCTCCTACTTTCCTGCTTTTAGCTCTGGTAAGATGAATATTTTTGTGTGTTAGCTTTCAAGATCCAGTATCTTCTTGCTGACTTGTACATACCAACTTCTTTCTTTCCACTCACTTGTGGGTTGTGTGGAACAGTTTTAGGTGGATTATGATGTATTAGGTCTACTCACTCCCCACTTGTAGCTCTGGTTTACCTGATAGGTTGTTGGGTGTTGATCAAATTCGTAGAGTTATATGACTTGTCCAGGAACTGCTGTAGCGTCACAAACGTCCCCGAACTCAATAGCCTAGGGTTTGACGACTCTCAACGTTGAAGCTGACCTTGATAGTTTAACTGGACTCGCTAAGCTGAAGGCACCCGGTCAAGCATCCTCGCCATTTGGCACACTGTCGTGTTACGTTGCATTGCTCGTATTTGACTCTCTAGCCAGTTAGTCGGAACATATCGGTAGTTTGCCACAACCTTCCAAATATACTATTTCATCCGACTATGCCATCGTGTTCTTCCTTGGTCTCGTACTCGTGGGTACATAACAAGTCTGAATAATTGGTGATTGGTTTTTGTGTCTGTCAAGTTCGCACCAGGACAAATCCTAAACTGTGATGTAGATGGGTTCTTCAAATGTCGCGTCAACGAACAGTTGTTCGGATGGCTTTTAGGAAGATGACACTAAGAATGAACTGGTGTCTAGTAAGAACACGAGAATCGTATTGAGATAACTCAAGGGGAAAAAAGCAGAACGATGGTATAAGGAAACATAGGTTGATGAACGGCAAATTGGAAATGAACTTGTGTTTGTGGAGGAAGAAGAATAAGGTGAAATCACGGAGGCAGAGATGGCAGAATAAGCAAGCGTGATTGCGTAAGGGCAGTGGTAACAGAAATTATAATATCATAATTGGGGTTAAAGTAACTACGGGTGCGGCTTCTAAGAAGGCAGTGACATGGTCCGTATCCCGACTAGATGAGCTCAAGCCGTGCATCGCTATGTAGCCCTCTAAACTATTAATAAAGCTGTCAACAGACGGGTCAGAGGTAAACTCGACGGAGAACGCGTTCCAGTGGCCACACACTTCTTGAGCCCTTTGATTGGCGATCCTCTCTGGGTTACCTCGAGGATTATCATAATCATCATTCAGTAGGATTTTACCATTCGGGTGGCTTTGATCCCACAGTGCACTGTAAGCCGTTATCAAGTGGCCGCACGGCTTACTTAACTAAGATAAAACAGCCCAGAGCCCTTCAACCCGTCCTCAAACGGTTTTTGATGCACTCCCGCAACACTATTGGTTGACTACTTCTGGGCTTCCTCCTCCTCCTCCTCGACCCCTAAGTCGAGCGGTAGGTCTTATAGCACCCCGGAATGAAATCTTGGTTGAGGGCATGTCGTTGTGTATGCACTGAGTGCAGCACTCTGTATACTGTGCGGGCACCTCCCAGACAGCCGGAGCTTGTGTCCAGTTTATCAGTCAGTGTTACTCCTCTGTCTTTCTCCGCGGTTATGTGGGAAGGATACGTACCTCAGGGAAGGCATGTAGAAACATGTTTCGGCTTTTACGTAGGTTAAATGCGAGTCCGCTGTTATCTAACCACTCTGCAAGCAACCCGCGACCAATTTTTACTGCGCTCGATTCCCTTTCAGGCGTCATGGCCCTCACTGCCTGACATCGCCATCGTAAAGTGAAACCGGTGGGTTGATACTCATTGGGAGGTCACTCCAGAAGTGAAGGAACAGCAGCAAGTTCAGAATTATCCCTTGTAACATATCAGGTGGTGACGTTTTCTGAGTCCAGCAGACCCCGCTGACTTTCAAACAGGATTTTCCTGAAGTTAAAACAGTTCTTCGGCTAGAACAGCATATGACCGTTGATCCCCAACTCTTTACTTTGTGAATGAGAATGGCGCGTGAGACGGTGTTAAAGGCCTTGGCGAAGTTCAAGAAAATCAAATGAAAGCGCAGCTGGAACTGTAAGCATTTCATTCAGTTATCACCTGCTACCAGAGGATTTAGGGTGCATGCCTTACTGTTTCGCAAATCATGTTGGACACCACTTAGTGCTCCCTTTTTGCCCGGGTACTTTCTGATTTGGTCATCTACAAGGCTCTGCATTGCTTCTGGCGGCAGTAGTGGAGGTGAAATAAGCCGATAGCATTTCATGGAAGCATATGCTTTTTCCAGAAGTGTTGAAACAGGTCACGGGGCAGACCACAAAAAAGCACCCACAAGGTGCTTGAACACGGGTGACTGCGTATTAGTAACGTTAGAGAAAAACTTGGGGACTGTGGCGGAGCATAATTCCATACTGGATTGCCTAACAGAGTGATATAACACACAATGACAGCGGAGTTTGCCGGATGACCTGTAGAGCGGGATTTATTCGTTCATTTATTTTTTCAGATTAAAGTGATGTGAATGTCAGTATTAAGCCCCGCTCGAAACGTCGTCCAATAAATTATGATGTATTTTTAAGTGCTATGTCAATGAAGTAAACGGTCTGGTATGACTAAACGTCGTCACACCCTGGTGATTATTCTTCACGAAACTTTTATAGCTTTCTGGGACCACAGCAACGGCTACTTGCATTCGACTCAGTTCTTCCAATCTCATTAGAGCGGAAGATTGCCCGCGCAGTCCACAATTGTGGCTAGATGACGGAATGTTTAATTGCTTGTCGAAGGTGATACCGAATTTTTTTGTATTCTGTAGTTCAGGGAGGTCCTACCTGTTTGTACCCTCCACAACAGCGGGTCACCGACCCTGAGATTTTCTCTCCACCAAGAATCGATACAGATTCTTGGAGTTCACCCCAGGCCTCTGGGTAAGGTTCATGTGAAAGGGCCTCCTGCGCCTTCTCACCTTGACTTGACATCAGTACCTTACAGTCGTGCATGCGCTATGGCTTGACTCTTTTGAAGATTCTCCACTTATGCCATGCCTTCCTCTTGGCTTTCGAGAGTCGCCCACTGCCTCATTTCAGCGGTATGATTCCTGTGACTTCTGGGATATTTTGAGAGACAGTCCTCTTATTCGTGTCAGTCAATAGTTCGTAGTGGTAGTCAATCGATGAGGTACTTCACTCTTGCGGGCATGATGTTGTGGACGGATACCGGCTTTTTATTATATACCGCTACATTCTCATATGGTCCAGTCCTTTTCAATGGCTCTGAGAGAGTTCCAGCCAAACACTGAGTTTGGCCTTACATGCTTAAGGTTGGGGGTCGGGCGTTAAAATTCTCCCGCTATGATGACCTGGTCATACCTTGTAGCCACCAATGCTGATATTAGCGGAGCGGTCGCCGATTCCGTTATACGCTGTCGGTGAGGGTTCCACAGTCCCCCCCACCAGGCACGCATACACATTTATGTATATATGCTAAATCTGCACATATATATGTATATATATTTTCCTTAACATACAGCCACACACCATTTTTAAGGGCTTGAATATATTTTTGTGTAAATTACACACTGCATCAGGGCAATATGTCTTTGGTGGATCTGGTGGATCTTTGTACCTTCTCTCTCATGCTCTATTCTTAACGGGTGACCCCTCAGGTCGCTTTTTCTACCAGGGCTTAGAGGAGATCTGTTGGGATGGAGGGGATTATGGGCGGTGTGGTACATCATGATCATATCCCCTCTGATCCTCCGGTGTTGTACTGGGTGCAGCTGGAGAGCAACTGAGCGGTCTGGGTGCGGTTTACGCCGTAACCCGATCACTTTCTTTGTAGCTCTTCTCTGTACCCGTTTTAGGATGGCTATGTCCCCCTTCAAGTATGGGGACGTTACAAGCGAATTTTTTTCTAAATGGGGACTAATGTACAGAACACACACCGGTGAAAAGAAAGGAGTTAGACACCTAAGGTTCGCGAGAGAAAGACCAAGATTCCATAATCCCTATTGGCTGCAAGGCGACAGTGAACAGAGGCTCCTAGTGTATCATTTAGTGTAACTCCCAGATCTTGTTCCATGTTAGAGTGACAGATATTTGTTTCACCTAGAGAGTAAGAACTGGGACTGCCTTTATGTTTGTCAACTATCATAATTTGACACTTCTTCGAGTTGAGAGGAAGCAGGTTTTCTGTAGTCCAGTTAAGGATTTTCGTAAGGTCCTCCTGGAAGATCGAAATATCCGCTGGTTCCTGTATTTCCCTCCAGATCTTCAGATCATCGGCATATAATAGTGAATGTGAATTAAGGACCCTGGTAGGTCATTGATAAAGCAAGAAACAGTAGTGGGCCCAGTATGGAACCTTGAGGCACACCACTCAGCATCGGGAACCACTCAGATAGAGAGGAGCCGACTCTAACTGACTGCACCCTGGTGTACAGATAATCTCTAAGCCAGATTAATAATTTTCCGTGTACACCCATGAGCTGGAGTTTCTTACACAGGATATCATGATTTACCCTGTCAAAGGCCTTAGAAAAGTCAAGTAAACCAATGTGTATAGGCTTTTTCTTCCAACAGAGAGTGTCCAGCTATTCCAAGCTATCAACAAGTTGGTGTTACATGACCTTCCTGGTAGAAAGCCACTGACAGTCGTTTAGGATTGATTTCTGAAGTAAGTGATCACGTAGTGAGTCATTTATGACTCTCTCTATGACCTTCGCAACTGAAGAGATCAGGGGGATTGGTCTGTAGTTGGAGGCGAGTAGTTTGTTTCCACCTTTATAAATTGGGACGACAGCCACCCGTTTCCAATCAGAGGGTAACCTGCCTTCCAGAAACGAGCATTTGAAGAGGTTTGCTAGTGGGACACAGAACTTCAGCACACTCCTTGAGTGCTCTTGGGTGAATACCATCGATTCCTGGAGACTTATTCGGGTTCAGTTTCTTTAACATTTCCATAATTACAGAGGGTTTAAACTCTATAT